GTCGTCCTCACAGTCACAGCAACTCCGGTGGCCTACGGAATTCCAAGATTTTGCCCGAAGTGGTAATTAATGCCTGGACGTGGACAGCTGTGTTGAAAGCAATGAAAATTTATTGATCATGTACCTGTACCCGGCCAAAAAAAATCTCCTTTGATTTTAAGAAATACAATTTGAGTTTAGTTTTGTCAAGACTTTTGTTTTCTTTGTTTTTCTTTCTTTTGCATTGATTAAGGAATGTTGGATAACAGAAGTAATTTGAAATAAGCCTAAGTCGGTCTAGGGGTGTTAATTGGACTGGATGGGGTCTAATCCGATCCAGTCCAATGTGAGTTCATTATAACTGGATCAGGTCCAATCCAAACCAATAAACATTTTTGACTGGTCCAATTCAATGTATGAATTATTCAATTTGTTTAAATTCGACTTGGTTTAGATTGGTTTCAATCCAAATCCGATACATTGATGCCTATATTCTTATCTTATATCAATGAACCAGGTATTAACTTAATCAAATTCAGTCCAATATAAATTTATTACGGGAGGACCAGGTTCAATCCAATCTAATAAATATTTTAAAATAAATTGGTCCAATTCATCCAAATTAATTTTGGATTGGAGGAAGTCTAATCCAAAATCGATCCATTGACACCCTTATTTCGATCCAATCCTTTTTGATCCTTTGGATCGTGATTAAGAAAATGATAGATGAATCCGATCGACTATGATATCATGTATACATTGCGCTGAGAGGGCATAAACTATAATCATTAGTTTATTCAAATTGGACGGTCCAAAGCCAAACGAGGGGTAGTTCAATTGGTATGTTAACCGGTTTGTTTTAGTAGCGATGGGAATTCAAATCCGCTACCACCAAAATTAGAGATAAGGGCTTAGTAGTGTGGTGTTGTACTACTCAAACGGCCCTTAATGGAGGATTCGGGCATATCATCAAATACCAAAAATAAAATGGACAGTCTTAGCTTCTAAAATCACTACAAAGCAATAAATGAACTTCAATTTTTTTCAGGTTGACCTTTATGTAGCATTCCTTTTATGATTTAATGATTTCTCATTATAAAAGAAGAACCGTTAGAACTGGGCCTGCTTACAACAAATATAGATATAGATGTGCTTTCTCTTCACCAAAGGTAATGGGGTATGGGATGCTAGTTCCTGAATCATTCCTATATTTCTTTATGCTTGTCAAAGTACAAGCCAAGCGTAAATATTTTCTTTTGCCATAGAGGGAATGTTGCTTTATCAGTGATTAGATTGCTTCTTCTTTTGTTTTCTATCTCCAAGTTAGGAATGACTGAATTATTAATTTCTCCAGGAGGAAAAATGTCGACATTTATTTATTTATTTTATGGTGTTGGTTGAAATCAGCGGATATCTGATCCGGTGTATTTGTTACAGATGAACCAACCTGTCATGTGATGTGAGACGACCAATCCCATATAATATAATATAATATCGGCTGCAGGTTTAATTTATGCACCCAGTTTTTTTAATATTATAATAAAAATATATATTTGTGAAAGGACCAAATTAAAAACACCCAAATACCTAATTTCTACTCCATCAAATAATTGAATGAAAACGAACTAATGCTCAGCGATACATTGAGTCAAAGTTTAGTCCTGCGTTTGAAAAGGAGACTGATCAATCAATAACCAATTCAGAGAAATGAATGGAAGATCAAAGATCCGATCGGTTAGAGTTTAGTGAAGTGATGAATCTGTTGCTGGAGACCTGGAGTTACTACAGGAAACTACTGATGTATCATTGTTATTGTATTAGGTTACGGAAAGACGTCCCTGTCTAGGGTTTATTGGCTTTGGTTGTCCTGCTCCTACCGTGGTCAATTCCAACTCATTGTGATTGAAACAATAGCCAGCTGGCAATTTTCACCTGTGCATTGTTTTTATTTATTAATTAATTAGTTCAGTGTTTGGAGGATCGATCTATCTGCCGTGGGACTCAATGAATGTATATTAGTTAGACAGCAATAAAGGGTTCCAATCCATGGCTAACCAAACTCATCTTCCAGGACCAACCCAACTAAATGATCATCATGAATCTTGAAAAGGTGGGTAAGCAAGCTTGAGCTAGCTAGTTTGATCATATCTAGCTCTCAACAAACAACATCGCCATCCATCCATGACTTTAATGAGTTTGGTAACTCTCAACAAATGAAATCATCATCAATGGCTTTGGACAATTCAGCGCAGTGCTTTCTAAATTATCAGATTTTGTTTGGTTTTTATTTTAATTTTTAACTACTCCACCACCGCACCGCACCACCCTTATTATAAATCTATGATGCCGGAGAGTTATGATACCCAATGATCTTTGACCAATCAAAGCCCCCAATCTGAAATTTGATTTATTTATAAGGGTAAAATACAAAAATTTATTCTAACGTTTTTTATAATCATAAAAACCTCTTTATAGTTTTACTTTAGCTAAATTCTTCCCTGAATTTTTAAAAAATTTGACAAAAACCGCCCTTCCGGCAATGACCCAAACGGAAAATGTCAGCCCGGGCATCAATTTATTCCAAATTTCCATTTTACCTTTTTGTAAATTAATTTGCATACATTTTTACTGAAATAACCCTGCCGACCTGTTATTTGTTACCTCTCCCGTCAACCTCTTTTATCCTCTGTCCTATCCCTGAATTCTATCACCTAAAGAGGAGGAAAGCGGCAGCTCTTTTAATCTTTCATCTAAACCCAAATGGAACACAGCTCTTTTCTTTTCTCCTTGAACTTTCTTTGTTGATTTTTTCCTCCTCTTTCAATCTCCCATGAATACGTAATTTTGTGTTCAATTATGTTTCTCCTATTTATTGTCCTACTTGACTTAGAAAAAAAATATATTTATTGAAGTATAAAATCTAATGTATTTTGGAGGTATGGACCTATTGAATGATATAGAGTATTTTTCTTATAAAAAATCTTCAAACCAGCAGTGTTTGTGTTAATGAAATGTTGTTTTCAGTATGACAGCTCCAAGGTGATGCAAGATACTTATTGTGGATAACAGGATGATATTGATCATCAGTATGAGGTTCCTATAGCCAACCATCCACCATTACCGGTCAAGGAAGCTAATGGGAATGAGTTTTTTGTACATGGATTTCTAAATCATAAAGCATATGGTGTGTTGTATATTTTTAGCCTCAGAATTTTTTATATTCAAGTTTTCAAATCATTCTTCTGTATAAATGCATCACTGCAAGTCATTTGTATATAGATTTCACTTCTAGAAATGAAATTATTTCCAAAATCGGGTCTTTTAAATCGAAAAACATCTCATATAGCCATAATCTACTCTCTCAACTGAAACATCCTCTCTTCCAAAGTTTTGTGATTCCAAGTTTCAACTGAGATAGAGAAAACAGAGCAAGATGAACAATTTGATAACAAAACCCTTCCTTAGCTATATGGGTCTGAAGAAAGAAGCCATGAAAGATCTAGAAGTTAGCAACGTCGATTTGGAAATGGTAGTGACGGCGATGCAAAATCAAATAAACCATAGGAGGCCGAGATGGTGAAAGAGATTAGTTTCATCAAAGACATCATTGGCCGATTACAACAAACCAACGAAAAGAGCAAGTGCCTCCACAAGCCGAAGGCTCTAAAAGCCCTGCAAACACGGATCAATGCCGTGACAATGCTTAAAAGGTGAAAAGTATAAAGTCTCAACTTGAGGATATGGACTGCACCAATGCTGCCAATAGGAGGTTTTCTGGATATAGAGAAGGAATGCCGATGGACCGCACAAGGACTTCGGTTACCATTGAGTTGCGGAAGAAGAAACTAAAGGAACTATTGGACTTCCAGGAGTAGAGGCAGCAGATGATGGTGGAGTATAAAGAGACAGTGGACCATCGATATTTCATAATAACAGGGGAATACGCAGAGGAAGAGGTGATAGAGAGGATTATATAAGTCCCGTAGGAACGGGAGGGGAAGAATTACTACAGATGGCGGTGCGAGAGCACAGAAGGGAAAGGTTCTTGAGACAGAGTTGAAGATACAAGACACGCACGGCGCCGAGAAGGAGGTTGAGGGCAAATATGATATTTTATAAATTAATTGAATGACGCTTAAAAGATAATTTTGTAAATGTTGACATTTTCCGTCTCGTTATTGGTTATTGACGGAAGGAAGATTTTTGTCGAAATTCTTTAAAAATTCAAGGGAAATTTTTGTTAAAATGAAATTATAAGGAAGATTTTTATGATTATCAAAAAAAACTTTAGGAGAAGGAAGGTTTTTGTATTTTACCTTATTTATAAATTATAAGTTTGTTAAATATCATGCCTTTTTCGGTATCATAGCCAAAAAGAACCTCCTTAACATTGGAATGAGTGAAGCTGAAACCGTATAAAGAAAAGTTTTAGAACGAAAATAAAGAGGCCGAGATCAACGGACTACGTTAGGCGATCATACCACCTGGGGCCCATAATCTATATGTACGGATCTCCGTGAAAGTTGAAACTTCACGGTCTCGATTTCTCCCATCATATAACTAGTGCAAGGACAGACATCCGCGTAATGGTCTAGCAGAGATAATAAAAGACAAAGCTCCCATGATAATGAGAGCGATAGGCTTGAGCAGGAATTTCCTACGTGACCGTCATATTTGTTTGCCATGTGAAGGGATGACGTAGTAAATCTGAACCGTCCATCAAAGTATAGAAGGATAGCTCTTCCAGTTAGCTTGCATCGGATTATCCGGCCCTATACACGTGGCGTCACGCTAATATATGCCATTCAACCACTCTACCCAAAATGCCATATAACGACATTCCCTTGTCGGTCATCCTCGAATCCCGTTTCGTTTCGTGTCGGTGTTAACGTGTGGCTTCCTCATCTTCTGTTTAATACTTTAATTTTAGATAATAATCAGTCATCATTCAACTACAGCGAGGTCATTTTGGTAAAATTAAAGATAAAAAGCATCCTCAGTGTTCGTCTTTGAATGGCTTTTCTTCCTTCTGGTTAGGACTCCAGCAGCCGAGCTACTTCACTCTTTTTCTGTGAGCAATGAAATTATAAAATATAAGTTGGTTGTTTTTTCTCCGTTACTTTTTCTCGTATTAAAAACTTTTTCTTTGAGTTAACAGTTTTTTTTGGAAAAATCGGATTTAATCCTTTAATCTGCTCTGTCTTCTCATTGTTTTCTTTCACAGCTGGGAAGAAATAGAGTCCTCTTTTTTTTTTTTTTTTTTCTAGAACGGTTTGAAAGATCATACAATGAATTTTTTTTTTTTTTTTTTTTTTTTTTTTTTGGTTTACTACTGTTGTTAGACAAATTTATGAAGTTTTAAAGCTTCGAAGTTCTTAAGCTTTGGTCATTTTTATCTTGAGACCTCATTTGCAGATTGCAGTTGCAGATCGTGCAGAGCTGCTAGAGAAGAGGGCGTTTCAGGGGGAAGGATAACTCTTTTTCATCAGAGCCCTATATCTGAAGAATTGGGTTTTCAAATAAGTGAAGTAAATCCGAGCTAACGGAGAATATAGCTATTTCCCTCTCTCAGTTCTTTACAAGGAGCTTAGATCTGTCGGTTCGAATATTTTAAAAAAGTTTGCAGAAAGCTCAGATATTGAAAAGTAAGTTTGTTTCTCTGCAATTTCTCCCACGAGAATTGAGTTAATAATCAATGAACCAGAGGAACTGAAATGAGTCGATGAATTTTTATCCATTTTTTATTTATCTATCTTCTCTGTTTCAGATGCCGGAAAAAGGAGTAAACCCCGTCTTTCATCCGTGCGTTTTCTGGCCGAATGCGTGGTTACAGAAGCGTTTTCCGATTTTAACAGGGGCAGTCTTTCTGGGTATGTTGATCATTTGGAGCATTGGTGGATGTACGATCAGAGACCGCGTCAGTTTTTGGCGGAACCGGCAAGATTATTTGACCCTGAAACTTCAGGCCGCGTTTAATCATTCCCAAGACCATGACAATCTCACTTATTTCAGCAACTCCCTCGGTCCTGTTAATCGGACGGACTCTCATACGAATCTGATCCATAAGGACCATGACATCTCCCAGTCACCTGCGAGCCCTCCTCAATCGGAAGTGGTTTCTCATCAAAATGTGACTGCCGTCTCCGATGAAAAACCTCACCAAAGTTTGACGCACTTGCCCACACTATCCAATTTTAGCTGGATTTCTGTCCAAGTAGAACCAAACTTAACGTCGAATCTCCTCTCTAGATGGTTAGACCCTGGAGGCGAACCGTGTCGAGATTCACGAACGGTTGATATAAGAATCCCTGGTCTGGATGACCAAAAGCCGGTGGAATTGTCGGCTGGGAAGATCCATGAATTCGTTATCCAAGCGTTGGACCAGTCGGGCAAACCCCGTTGTTTGGGTGGGGACTATTTCGAAACAGACCTCTCTGGCGAGTCCTGGAAAACTCGACCTCCGGTGAGAGACTTGGGCAATGGTTCTTATTCTCTTTCTCTTCAAGTTCATCCGAATTTCACTGGCGAATACAACCTCACCGTCATTCTTCTCTTTCGACACTTCGAGGGACTCAAGTTCTCGCCGCACCGGTTCGCCTATGATAGAGAGCTCCGACGAATTCCAGTCAAATTCTACAGAAGTAACGCTACGTTACCCCAAATACGGACTTGCCGGAAATCGGACTTCTCGAGGGACGTCTGGTCCGGCCGGTGGACGAGACATGGCAAGAACGACGACTGCAAGATTAGCAACGATGGTCGATACCGGTGCCTGAACCTCGATTTCCCTTGCCAGAAGCCCTGGTGTGAAGGGTCGTTGGGATCGCTAGAGAGTAATGGTTGGGTTTATTCGACCCACTGCGCCTTTCGGATCTTCATTGCAGATTCCGCGTGGAAATGCCTACAGAACAGATGGATATTCTTCTGGGGCGATTCGAATCATGTAGACACGATACGAAACCTCCTCAATTTCGTCTTCGACTTGCCCGAAATCAAAGCAGTCCCGAGACGATTCGACATGAATTTTACGAACCCAAGGAACAGAATGCAGACGGTTCGCATCACGAGTATCTTCAACGGGCACTGGAACGAAACTCAGAATTATGAGGGCCTGAATTCGCTCCAAGACGAGGAGTATCGGAATTTGTTAAAGCGGTACTTCTCGGAAGAGACGGTGCCGGATACGATTGTTATGAATTCGGGGCTCCACGACGGCGTCCACTGGAAGAACGTAAGAAGGTTTACGCAAGGAGCAGAGTACGCAGCGAGGTTTTGGAAGGACGTAATCGAGTCGGTGAAGGGAAGAGGGAAGCGTGCACCGGAAGTCGTGTACAGAACGACGATCGCGACGGGAGGGTATGCGAGGGTGCTAGCCTTCAACCCGAGTAAGATGGAGGTATTCAATGGGGTGTTATTGGAGAAACTGAAAGGTGCAGGGATCGTATCGGGGGTGATTGACGATTTCGATATGACGTTCCCGTGGCACTACGATAACCGGTGCAACGACGGTGTGCACTATGGGAGGGCGCCGGCGAAGCTCAAGTGGAGGGACGGAGAGATAGGGCACCAGTACTTCGTTGATCTCATGCTGTGTCACGTGATATTGAACGCCCTGTGCGCACGATAGATGGTAGCCGATTTTTTTATTTTTTTTGAATGTTGAGAGATTGCTCCAACTCAAAGCACAAAGACAAAGGAGTTGAGACTGCAACGAGACACGCACGACGTTAAGAGGAAGGAGAACTATGGTCTATGGGAGAGGGACCGATTATTCTTTATTGGTTAATTATTTTTTGTTGGGGGGAGGGGGTGGGCAATTCTTTATTGGTTAATTAATTGGCACTTCAATTATCATGTGATGTTAGGCTGTTACTTAGCTTGTCTGTAGCTAATGTCGTTAGGGTCGTAGTTAATACAGTTTTAGAGCTGAAGCAAGAATGAAAGTGGGTGGAAACCCACCTATGAAGAGATGTATTTATCACGTAAGTTACACGAACACTCGCTTGATTTTCAATACCTTCAGTCTATTGAAAAAGTTTAGAAAGACTTTTGATACAGTTGTTAGGGTATATATGAAGTATTCTTTGAACGTACTTGCCTACATTGGTGGCAGCGGGATTTGATCTTATCTGATCTGAGTCTTGGCTACAACCAGCCGGAGATCCCACTGAGCCAATGAGGATCCAGCTCTAACTTCAATGTTAATTGAATTGGGTGTATAGTTATGAGGTTCTCCTTTATGCTTCCGACTCTAACTTCCAAAAGGCTTTAGATGTAGAAACCAGATGAGAATCCTCTGCTGCTTGTATTTTTTTTTTTTTTTCTCACACTTGCAAGTAGATTAGTTTGCTTTATAGGTTTAAGGCTTTGTGGCAGAGAGATGTATAGACACTAAGATAGTCTCTGTCCATCCCCAAGTTATTTTCTGTTTTGACTATTGGACCTGAGCAGCATGCGGTAATAAAGATCCAGTCTCTGTCCATGCTATGACCCATTTGAGCTTCTCTTAATAACCTATGCATGTAATTAGGTGTAAGTGACACAATTCAACACCACTACTTCCATCCGTAGTCCTGTTTTGGAGCGAAAGCCAAACAATGATAGTGGGTCTATGAGATTGGATATTAACAGATCGAGCAGGACAAGGCCCAAACTTTATTTTTGGGTTCAAGATGGGCCGAGGCAGGACAAGGCCCATTCGTACTACTTTGTCTAGAGGTCCCTGGCCGACCCAATACCCATACTTATTTACCAGCACCGTTTACATAAAAGGGAGAACTCCTTTTCCACCAAAAAAGGAACACTTGTATTTGCAAAATTATTTTTTTTTTTTAATTCTCTGCAAACTTTTAATATTAATAACTATTAGTTAAAAAAAAAAAGAAATCCTTCTATAAAAATTGGGAAACTATAAAAAAATTAAAAAAAAACTAAAAAAGACCTATATATAAAACAGCCTATATATAACAGAGCAACCAGCAGCCTACGACCTATTCAGTTTTGGCCTTAACCACAATTGGACTTCTCACGTAATGCAGACCGTCTGACCATATCAACTGACCAAACACATAATCCATAGCCGCATCAGCTTTGTTGGTCTTCAGAGTTAGCCTAAATGTCTTCTCTTCTCCCATCTTCTCGAATTTCAGACTCGCTGGCTCCACGGATACTGAAATTCCGTTTGGTGCATCAACACTAGCCGTGTATGTTCCCGGAGTACCAACGTTCTTAAGTGTTCGAGTCACGGTGGCGGAGCCGGAGAGATTGGGCACAGTGATGGAAGGGTAGTTGAAGTCCATGAGAGTGGCGGATTTGGGGCATGTATAAGGCTTATCCGAGAAAGTTTCGATTTGGGTCTGGTTGTAGCCCAGGGCGCATAGGAAATCCAGGTAGTCCTTCACAGTCAAGTCATAGACCAACCCAGGATCCATGGCACGGTTTGGTTGGACATGACCCGCACCGTAACTGAATGGGGTTGCTTCGACGTGTGACGAATTAAGGATTTGTTCCCCTATGTTGTCTCTTGCTCCAGCTGTAGATGAAAGATCATAAAGCTTCAGAACAGCGTTTCATCGAGATATCAATACAAAGGTAACTCGCATATATAGAAGAAACCAAATCTCACCGGTTGTCATGATGGCCGATTTAACTGCAGCGGGGCTCCAATCTGGGTGGAGTGTTTTGAGGAGGCCGGCAACGCCGGAAACATGAGGACATGACATCGATGTGCCAGACATTATGTTGAATGGAACGATGCGCTTGTCGTTCTCACTTGCGGCTCCCTGTGCTTCGGTGAAGGCAGCTATGATATTCACCCCAGGTGCAGTAATATCAGGCTGAACACCAGCAATTAATTAGTACGTAAAATATATAACATTAAGCAAAAAAAATAAAATAAAACGAAATTTGAGTTGTGGGTATATATAGAATGAACCTTGAGGATCTCTGGTGTAACAAGATTGGGTCCCTTGGAAGAGAAAGAGGCCATGAAAGGAGCCGGCTTGACACCCAACAGAGTTGTGCCATGTGTAAGATAAGCCACAGGAGACCTGTAAAAAGAATTCGTTAACGTGCCTGTTTGATTCCTATCAAGAAAAGAAAACCCATGCATGACATGACAATATAAAGTACAACGTAACGCTACTAAGTAAGAGATATAGCTAGCTAGGAACGTACGTACTTGGTAGAATTGATATAAGCGAAGACGGCAAGACCATCAGTGTAGGTGATATGTGAAGCAGGGAGGACGTGAGCATCGGCAATAATTTCATTTGCGGTGGTTACATCGTTGGCAAGAATCATGCCCACAGCACCGGCCCGGGCAGCCTGCTCTCCCTTGTCAACTCTAGCTGTCTCGCCTCGGAGGCAGGTCAAGATTTTACCCCTCACCTTCTCTGGGTCCAGCGCTCCGGCCTTGCACAGGAGAGCATCATTTGTTGATGCATTAGCTGCTTTGGCATCACCGGCGCTTATCAGAGGATAGAACTCTTTCACCGGCAACCCATTTGTTGAAAGACTCTCTCCCTGGGGTGCAAGTGCAAAATAGTGTGATAACAATGCAAAAAGAGTAATTAAGATTCTAATATTCAATTGATCATCACTAAATTAACGATGGACAAGTACGTAGGCATACTTTAAAGTAGAGCTTATTGCCGAGGACAACGTAAGATGCGAACTCCCGATCGATGGTGCTCGCTCCCACCGTAATCATCCATGGCGAAACATTGGAGACAGAACCATCAGTCGGTCCTGAATTGCCGGCTGAGCAAACTACGACTATCCCCTTCTTAACGGCATGAAATGCTCCAATTGACAGACCATCTTCAAAATAATAATCAGGAGAGCCACCAAGCGAGATGGATAGGACATCAACCCCGTCGTGGATGGCGGCATCGAAGGCAGCCATGATATCAGCATCGAAGCACTCACCACTGTCACCGACTGGAGGCCAGCATACCTTGTAAGCAGCCACTCGGGCCCTAGGGGAGCCACCCTTTGCTATTCCTTGGCCGTAACCAAAGATGCTGGCACCGGGAACAAAGTTGCCGCCGGCCGTGGAAAGAGTGTGTGATCCATGCCCTTCATTGTCGCGTGCGGTGTCATAGGAAGAGTCCAGAGGACCCACGTAGGAGGAGTACCCTTTGTTGAAATACCTTGCTCCGATTAGCTTCCTGGAAAGGATAAACTGACCAATTAATGGTCCAAAAAATATAGATCCGAACCACAAAAGGTTATGCCAACCGATGGTCCAGGCCTCTAGAGGGATGAGCTGGATGGCTGGACCTCTTTCATGACAATAATAGAGATGATTTTAGGTCGGGTCCGATTCTGAGAGCATCAACGGACAAAATGGTTGAAGTGTTAGATGGATGGTGCTTCTGAATTGCGGTATTATTGCATACGAGAGAGATCTAGAGGAGCGATATCAGACGGATGAGCTGTTGCTCTCAAGCCTCTTAGGATGTGTTTCATCTCATTGGATATATAGTGGTGGCCTAACAAGGACAAAGTCACTTGGTTTTCTCTGGTAGTTTGATACAGGAAAAAAAGGTTTAATGTGTGTATTAATGGAAGGTCTACATTAAAATGGTATGTGTTTCGTGTTTCTTCCACACCGTGGCCAACTATGAAAGGAGATGGAATATACAACTTTTCAAACTTTTTGTGGGGAGGAATGGGATGAGGATCGGAATTTAAAAGGGTCCAACAGAATTTGGACAAAGCAATCCTATACTATCAAAGAATATTGCTTTTTTTCTTTGTCTTCTCTTCAAGGTGGTCCTCCTCTTTCTACTGTTTCGGACTCTATGATCCCTGAATAATCTACTCTTATCGACTCAAGCCACCTTTGATAATATTGGTTATTTCTCCATTAAAAGTAGATAATTAGATGCTCCTAAATTTGTGGGGTTGCTCTTGATTTAAAGCGTGACTAACTAAAATTAGTCGAAAGTTGATATCAAAATCCAGGAACCTTGCCAAAGTTAGCATTATTTTCTTATTGGATGTAACGAGATAAAATTTATTGAAGATATGAAAAAAAAAACTACTTATTAGAAAAGATCATCTGTAAGTAGGAAAAGAGTAGACCTGTTGCAGACGAATGTGTCATTGCTACCACCCTTCTGACAAATTCCTTTCCACTTTGAGGGAATGGGTCCATATCCATCGTCGCTAAAGCTCTTTGATTCAGGCCACACACCTATATCAGATTCCACATTCAAAGAAAGTTAAAAAGAATGACGAATGTCAAATATCGTGGCAATTGACAAAGAACAATCTAGCGCCCAATTGACCTCTACTATATATAAATATAAAAGGAATTGAATGAACGAATGAATGTTGAAGACTCATGGATTCATTGATACCTATAATCGACCCTTCTCAAATGCAGGGCCATTAATATATTGACCAAACAAAATGTAAGTGGTCAAGAAGATTTGAATTAGACACCCACATCAATTAAATTAAATTAGATATATACAAACGATTACTTTATGGTTGAGTTAATGCTTTTTGTTACCAAAAAGACTTCAAAGCATCAAGGGTTTGTCCTGGTTTATATGCATGCATGGTCAAATCGTCAACTAGTAGTTGAAAATTTAACTAACTAAAAGCATGCTTTTGTTATTCGATCTTAGTGAAGCAAGTCATCTAACTTAACTAAAAGCATGAAATCTTAGTAAAGACAAGAAAGTTTAAATCTTGGGTTCTTTTGGAAGTTAAATCAATGGCMAATGCATGAAAGTCTCTGAAAATTAAAACAAAAAGTTATTCAAAGCTGCATGCTTTTGTTAAAAAATTAAAAGGAGATAATACTGAAGTAGCAGAAAGGTGTTGGGTTGCCTTATTAAGAAAATTAGACCAAGTGAAAATACTGAATATAATCGATGCGCAAATTTGGTCAATATGGATACATGGGGGAACATCAAAAACAGTTACCAGAGTCGAGGTTTCCTATGATTGTATCTTCGCCAAATCTGGCCTTGAGCCAAAGTGATGATCCTGATGGATCTACACCATTAATCCTCCCCAGACCAAGAAAATCCCACGACCTGGTTGTGTGTAATTTCCTTCCTTGATTCAAGAAAACCGATACAACTCTCGGATGTTCTTCATTGGAAAACAAAGCACAGAGAGTAAGAGATGTGAAGATAAGAACTAAAACAAACGAACATATATAGGAATAGGAGTATAGACTCTAGATGCATGGTAAATATTTCTTACTTGCAATCTCGGCTGCTTCTTCTTCTTCGAGTGTAGCAGAAAAACCATTAATATGCTTTGTATATGAGTAAAAAATAGCTGCTTTGGCCTTCTCTTTGCTGTGTTTAAAAGAGAGATCAGGATAAAATTATCAGCTTCAAACTTCAAAGGAAAGAGGAAAAGGAATAGTATGTCTAGCTACCAGATGGACGATCGATATATGAAAACTTGAAGTAAATACCTTCCCAAGAATGATCCGAGGAACTCGTAATGAGAATCTGTTACTCGATCGAAATCAGTGGATGAAGGTTCTGAGACATGGGAATGTCCTCCCAGATATACCACATAAGACTGTACGAGAAAAAAGAAGGGAGTTGAGAGTGAATATAAAAGAGCTAACTACTCGAATTCTAAACCAAATATATATAAAAGAGAACTGTAGAACTACATAATGTTTGCCTTTTTGCCAGCATAAGTGGGTGTTTGCAAGAGAGAAAAGAGGACGACAGATAGAAGGAAAAAAGGAAGCCTGGAAGTCGCCATTGATTAATTAATCGCTGTGTTTCCCTTACTTGGAGAGTAGCCTAAATTGACGTACCCTCCTTTCGACTGTGAAGGGGTATATATAATCGTGGAAAACCTTTTTAAGTTGTAGAAGAATTCTATATTCTTCTATATTCCTAAAGCGGAATTATTTGCTAAAGAATTCTACTCTCGTAAAAGTTCACTTTTGCCACGACACTGTCGTAGCGAGCGCTAAAACAGGAAATCATGGCTTTGTATCTACTCCAGTCTCCACCAAGAAGTCACTCCATCTGATTCAATGTAGGGTCATGAAAGCAAATCAATGGCTTCGATTTACTTGTTTCAGCGTAGGGCTACGACACTGCCGTAGAAAATGTGGGTTGGATTCCTAAAAGTACTCACTCCGTCACTCGTTGTCAACTGCTCTACGCCAATATTTTTTCGGTCTTTTACATTGGTTATCTTCTTTTTTTTTTTTTTTTTACTTTTCTTTCGTTATTTTTATTTATTAGCGGGGACCCGTGCCGTGTACGGAATTTATTAAACGAAAGATAAATAATAAAAGGGTCATTTACTAAAACACCCACTCTTATAATTTCATGGATTTATTAAAATCTACCCTATAGTTAGCCTTTTACTAAAACATCACTTATAAAATCTTACATTAAATGATAATGAAAAATAAACACTAATGTTCATTTAAATAAATTTAATAAAAAAATAGAAATAAAAATACCTTATCCTGGGCAACCACTCTATTGGCTATTTTGGCCAATTTTGTGTTCTGTATAAAAAAGTGTTAAGGGTATTTTTGGAATAGAAAGTCATGGGTGTAATGGCAAACCAAACAATCCTTAATGAAAAGTTGACTAAGTAAATAAGTTATAAAATATATGAGATGTTTTAGTTAAATGAAAACTATAAGGTAGGTTTAAGTAAATATATAAAACTATAAGGTGTTTTCTAGTAAATGACCCAAATAGAAATACATATGAGTATACAATTGTTTTATATTTTCAACTTTTTAAATAATTAAAAATTAATGTTTTATATACTACTTTTAATAAATTTTTATAATACAAAAATAATAATAATTAATTTCAGTTAGGTTTATTCATCAAACTTATGAAACCGACCAACCCAATCAACTCAACCCGAGTTGGTCGGTTTTCTAGTATTTTAGGTCGRCTTTGGTTCAAAAATTTTCCAATTTGACCAACTTGGATCAGTTTCATGTTAGTCATTTGTAAACCGACCAAAATCGAACAACCAAACCAAGGATACATATTAATATTTTATATTTTAAATATAATTTTGAATATGAAAAGTGAGAAATTTCTCATATTTCTTAGTCTAAAATGTTTTGTTTCATAAATCTAATTTTTAAATTTATTTTCTAATAATTGCATTGTAATTTTTAAAACTAAATTTAATTTTTCAGTTAAAATCTTTTGAACCGAATGACCTTTTGTGAAAACTGACCTAAACTGATACAACTTGAGTGGATCAATTTTCACAAAAGGTCTGTCAGATTCAGCTAACCAACTCCCTAACCTGTTTGGCCAAATAGCCTACATCGGGACCGAACCAACTCATGAACACTCATAATTTTAGCTAAATTAATAGTCTTATCTTCGATAAATAACAATAGTTTAATGTCCAATAATTATTGAAAATTTATAGTAAAAATACATAATTATTGAAAATATATTGGTAATGAAAAAAATACAATAAGTACTAAAAATATATTAACTTAGTCATTAAATAGTATAATCTCAAATAATAGTTTAATCTCTAATAAATATTAATTAATCAATAAGTTATAACAAAAATACAATAAGTACAATAAATTAAATTTAAAAAATTCAACAATAGTAGTTTAATCTCCGATAATTATTGAAAGTTTTCTGTTAAATAACAAAACAAAATAAATTTATACATAATCATTGAAAATACATCTATCACAAAAAAAAACAATAAAATTTACTGAAATACAATAAATATTAATTTTACTATATATAATTATATAAGAAATATAGATTAGAGTTTAATTTTTTGAAAGTTATTTTCTCGAATTATTAATTGATATAAGTGAACTTAGTTATTTAGAATATTATGTAAAAATATTAAATTATTAAAATTTCAATATTATGTTATAATTATTTTTCTATTTTTTAGATTTTTTTTAAATTTATTACATAATTTCTTTATTTTAACTATTTACAGTCTACTTATGTTAAATATTTTGTTATTTAAATACTTAAATAACATGTAAAATATTTAAATATTAAAATATTAATTATTTATTGAATTTAATTATCCATTAAATCATAATTTATACTATTATTACATAATTTTATATTAATATTTTATATTTTAAATTAATTTTTAAAATGAAAAAGTGAAAAATTTCCCATATTTCTTAGTCTAAAATGATTTATATCATAAATCTAATTTTTTAATTTATTTTTTAATAATTGCTCTGTAATTTTTAAAATTAAATTTAATTTTTAAGTTTAAATCTTTTGAACCGACTAACCTTTTGTGAAAATCGACCCAAACCGATACAACTTAAGTGGGTCAATTTTCACAAAACGTCAGTTGGTTTCAGATTACCAACTCCCCAAATTAATAGTCTTATCTYMAATAAATAACAATAGTTTAATCTCCAATAATTGTTGAAAATTTATAGCAAAAATACACAATTCTCGAAAATATATTGCTAATGAAAAAATATAAAAATTACAAAAACACAATAAGTACTAAAAATATATTAAGTTAGTCGATAAATAGTATAATTCCAAATAATATTTTAATCTCTAATAAATATTAATTAATCAATAAGTTATAACAAAAATACAATAAATTAATATTTTTTAAATACAATAAATTAAATTTAAAAAATTCAATAATAGTAGTTTAATATCCAATAATTATTGAAATTTTCTGTTAAATAAAAAACAAAATAAATTTATACATAATCATTGAAAATACATCTATCACGAAAACAATAAATAATTACTGAAATACAACAAATATTAATTTTAAYATATACAATTATATAATAAATACAGATTAAGAGTTTAAAATCATTTTTAATAAATAATAATTTTTTTGAAAGTTATTTTCTTGGATTATTACTTGATATAAGTGAAATTCGTTATTTACAATATTATGTTATAATTATTTTTCTACCTTTTAGATTTTTTAATTTATTACATAATTTCTTTAATTTAACTATTTAAAATCTAGTTATGTTAATATTTTGTCATTTAATATTTAGTTATATAAATACTTAAATAATATGTAAAATATTTAAATTTTAAAATATTAATTTTTTATTGAATTTAATTATCCATAAAATCTTAATTTATACTATTATTACATAATTTCATTATTAATTTTGTAATATATTAAATTATTATTAATTTGAATATTATGTTATAATTATTTTTCTACTTTGAAGAAATTTTTTAATTTATTACATAATTCCGTTATTTTAACTATTTAAAGTCGAGTTATGATAAATATTTAAATAATCTATAAAATATTTAAAATTTTTGTTATTTGAATTTTATTTATTTAAATATATTACATATTATTAAATATTTGAAAAACATTTATTGATAATAAGGAAAAATATAATTTAAATTGTTTGTACATAATTTCGTGATATATTTTATAAAAATATAAAATTATTTTTTTTGTGTTTTTAAAAAATATTTTAAAGTTATTATATAATTTTGTTAGAATATTTAAATAATTCTTAACTTTTTTAATCCAAACTTTCTTTAGATAGATATAGATAGTAGTAGGGGAGAGGATAAATAGGAATTAGAGATAATTTAGGTGAGAAACTCTCTACTAAATTAGAGATCATTTTGGAGATAAATAGGAATTAGAGATAATTTAGAAGATAAATAGGAATTAAAGATAACTTTGGAGAAAGTGGGGGAGGTAATTTATGAGAAATTTTAGGAGAAGTGATTATTTAGGTTATTGTAAATTGCATCTCATTGGTTGTTTCAAAAATGACATGGAATAAAAAATAAAAATTTCAAAAAAAATGAGAAAATTTCTTGACCGCTTTGTTTTAATATATATTTATAGATTTATTATTGAGAGAAGATAGCCCTCTAACATTCCAAGTATTTACTTTGACAAAATTCTAATGACCATTTTCATCCTATTTCGATTCTGTTGTAAAAGGAAGCTTACTATTAGAACTAGAATACGTATTTGATACGAGTTTCGTAATTATCGGATTCTAATCAAGGTGTATTTGAATCTGATCCAAAACAATATTTTAGGTTCGATCCGAAGATTCAATTGGATCTTATAAATATCGATTTGAATTTGAATCTGATTAATATGTCAGATATTTGAATCTGATCCAATTCGAATTAATCTTAAAAAAAATAATAAAATATTAAAAGGAAAAGAAAATATAACTTTTTAAATAAAGAAAAACAAAAATATAAGTATTTTATAACTATTTTCATCAATATATAATTATATATACATTTTTTTGTAATAATAAATAATATAAAAATTTTATAAGAAATGTAATATAAATAACATATTTGTGAATAAATAAATAACATATATGCATATATGATATATAAATAAATACATACATAACATATATATCAGGTCGAATAAGGGGTGATCCAAATCCAATTCAATCTGATCCAAAAATCCGAAACAGTTCAGGTCCTCACATGGTTTCTACCTGTAATAGATTCGTCAATAGAACATCTCTCTCTTCCCTCAAATCTGCCATTAAATCGAAAGTTTGAGCACCTACGTCCAATGGAACTGCAACGTCGACATCTTCAAGAGTCTTTCTTTCCAATCGTTCCACTTCTAAATCACCTCTTTATTTATCCTTTTGCTTAGTAGCAGGTCTACAGCCAAACTTAATTGGATCTGCACAATCTTTGTTGCCTCTCCACAAGGTATAGTAACTTAATTATTTACAATAACAACAAATTAATGTAAATTATTTATTTTGTAAG